AAAGAACTCAGTGGAAAGCTAAGGGCTAAGGGAGGGCAAGGTGTAATGGAAGAATTGATGGCATTTAAGTGCATAAAACTAGACCCACTCCCTTAGAGCCTTAGAGCCTAGTGTAAAGGTGGGAAGTGAGGTGTGGAGTTCTGGGGGCATCAGTGCTGGTGATCTAGCAGAGCAAGTTGAAAGTAGTTGAGTGGTGTCTCCAGAGGCACGTGATGGCCCGGCCACCATCTTCCACCCCAGGAGATGCTGCTGCCTGGGGCAGGCTGGGGCCACATGGAGGCCCGGGTTCCATTCTGCCCACCCTAAGAGCCCATGGCATGCACCTGTAGTCCCAGCTACTCAGGAGGCTGAGGCAGGAAGATCACAACATAGAGACCCTGTCTAACAAAAGGAAAAGAGGGACTGGCAGGTGGCTTGATAGTAGAGGTGCTGGACTCCCACCTGGCTGACTATGGTTTGAATCCTGGACTTGGACACTTGCCTTCTTACTTTCCATCTCTCTCTTTCTCTGTGTCTCTCTCTGGTCAAATTTAAAGATAATAATCAATTTTAAATATTTTTTAAAAGAAAAAGGCAAGTGATGATTATCTTTTAAGCTTATTTTATTTATTATTATTTTTTAATTTGCTATAGGGCAGGGCCAGCAGATCCTGTGACTTGAAACTCACACCAGGCATGTGTGCAGGTGTGCCCAAGATCCCAAAAGGAGAATGGAGGACAAGGGATTGCATGTGGCCATCCCTCCTGGGGTGTGTGTGGGGGGTTGATTTCTCACTTTCCCTCTTACTGTCTCTGTTTCTCTCTCCAGCAAGCACATGTGCCCTGTGACAAAGACCTCTAAAAGAAAAAATATTGCTATAGGGCACGTACACCAGAGACAGAGAGAAAGAGAAGGAAGGTGAGAAAGCAAGCCACCAGGTCCAGGACTTGAACCACAGTAGTCATGTGGGAGTCCAGCGCCTGAGCCACCACGCCGCCTGCTGGCCTCTGTCCTCTTCTTTCTCACCTTCTTAGCCTCTGGTTGAGGCTCCCTCCTTCTTGAAAGATGATCACCTTGGGCCTAGCAGGTGGTCTAGATCGGAGGACCCTCAGGACTGGAGGCAGGAGATGGCAAGTATCCCCACAATCTCTGGTCCCCCACTGGGATTTCCAGCCACAGCAGTAGTACCTTGGGGGCATAACCTCACAGGGATCTGGGTCTGAGGCGCAGGCAGGTGGGGTTGGCATCACCCCCTGCAGATTCAAGGGATTGGTGGCCTGGAGCAATGGAGGTGACCTCTTTGGCAGGAAGAGGTAGGCTCTGTGTCTCCTGAGCTAACATCCTCCACAGGAGTCCCGGCACCTTCTGGTGAGGCGTATCTGACGTGTGTGCGTGCGCTCATGCGTGTGTGTGCAACTTCCAGTTCCCTTTTAATTTCTTTTCTTCTGCCCTTTGCTGGGCATTTTTCTCAGCCTGCCTCTCTTAACCGCCAGAGGTTTTCAAGAGGAGAGATAAACCCCAAGGGAGTGAGGAACAACCTGCAGGGGCGGGAAGGGCAGGAGGTAGATCCGGTGCGTGTGCGTAAGTTGGCACTGCTCTGCAGCCAGCACGAGAGTCGGTAGAAGGCTGTATGAGGGAAGATACCCACACCCCGCCTTCCACGTAACTACCTCCTCCGCAGCAGCTCAGGCTCCTCTTCCAGAGAGTAAGAAATAGCGAGCAAGGGGCGCCTCTGAATCAGGAAAGGGAGCGGGAGAGTCTGCTTCCAAAGTGGGGCGCCTCTGAATCAGGAAAGGGAGCGGGAGAGTCTGCTTCCAAAGTCTGAATTTGTCAGCAGGGGGGCTGTCATCTGGGTCCTGACCCAGCAAAGCCACCTACATATAGCAGTTTCCCTTTCCTGGTAGTCAGGGCCCAGCACCGACCCGGGCTAGGTGAGTGCAGAGGGGATCTGGACCAGCAGGCTCCGTGTCAGTGACCTGATTTCCCCAAGATTGGCAAGCAGCCGCGTGGCAGGCCAGCCCCTAGCCCAGGGCTGGGGCCTGCTCCTCCAGGTGGGGAATTTAACACCCATATTTTCGCACCACTGGGCGGGGGGAAAGAACCTCTGTTTGCAGTGGCCCAGGGGCACAGCATCTATGAAAGGAAGCCTAAAAAATGGGTGTTAGAGGGGTGTGATTATTGGTGACATGAGCTGCGTTTTGAACTCCCCTTGATTTTGCATGGGGCAGCGGGATGCCATGAAGGAGCCTGAGATTTGGTGTTGAAGGTCCAGGTACTGTCAGTTGAGCGGCCCTAGGAAGGTCATCCATTGGTTTTTTTTTGAGAGATGTTTGCTATGGGGGCCTGAGCTTGCTGGAGAGACAGAAAGCGATAAAACACCTCCCAGTGGGGATGGCTGTGCTGGAATCCCTTCTCCATTCTCCTCTGGGAATTTTGGGCACACACTAACAGGCCATCGTCATGAATTTCAAGTCACAGGTCCGCAGAATGCGGAGACCAGCGCCTTAAGCACTACACCGCCTGCTGGCCTTATCTAGTCCTTTCGAATCCCTGGCTGAATCCTCTCTCTCTTTTTAAAAGGTTTTTGGCCCTATGATGCATGTACTCTCCAGAGAAAGACAAAGAGAGGGAAAGTGAGAAGGCGAGATCACCCCTCCCCCTTCCTGGGATTTTGGGCATGCATACACAGGGCCCTGAGTAATTTTCAAGTGGCCAGGTCCAAGATCCAACTGCAGTCAGCTATGCCGCTTGCTGGCCCTGAATCCTATCTCTCTCTCTCTTTTTTCTTTTTGGAGAGATGTTTGCTATAGGGTGCCCACACTTGCCAGAAAGAGACAGACAGAGAGACAGGGAGCAAGAAATCACTCCCCTGGGGGAGGTGGCCACGCACAATCCCTTTTCCTCCATTCTCGTCTCAGGATCTTGGGCACATGCACATGCGCTTGGTGTGTAAGTTTTTAAGTCACCGGGTCTGGGACTCGAACTGTAATCGACTACATGGGAGTCCAGCAACATAGCCATTACACTATTGGGGCCAGCAAGTGGCATTGTGGCTAATGGCACTGAACTCCCTCATGGCTAATCACAGTTCAAGTCCCGGGCCTGGTGGCTTGCTTTCTCACCTTTCCTCTCTCTTCCTCTCTCACTCTGTCCCTCCCTGATCATGTTAAAATAAATAAATGAATAATAAAGTTAAAATAAAATAATTATTTATTTAGTTTAATTTGACCAGAGAGAGAGGAAGAGAAAGTGGGAAAGCAAGCCACCAGATCTAGGACTCAAACCACCACGGTTGGCTGTGTGGGAGTCCAGTGCCCTTAATCATCACACCACCTGCTGGCCCTGCTGAATCCTCTTTTATATAAGAGAAGTTACCCCAGTTTTCCCTACCCTTCAGGACATTGGGCCATAAGTTATATATGACTCAACTCCAACCATCTTTTAATTATCATTTTATTTAAATGTATTTATCTATTTATTTATATTTGACCAGAAAGGGACAGAATGAGAGATAGAGAGGGAAAGTGAGAAAGCAAGCTGCCAGGTCTGGGACTTGAACCATGATCAGCCAATGTGGGATTCTAGCACTCTTAACCACCACACCACCTGCTGGCTCCCCAACAATACTTTTATCGGGAAGAAAATATAAGGCGTGAGGAAGAAGAGGTCGCACCATAATTAAAGGGTGGTTTATCTTTTCAGCTTTATCAATGAATCATTTATCCCAGAGTGATTTAAATGCTCCCCTTTTCCAATAGAACCTCACACCTGCTCCCAGCGCCAGAGACAATTACTCTGGGAAAAAACAGGTATTTCATGTGGCACCTCAGTCCAGCTCCACTGGGATTTACTACGATTCATAATAATGACTGTTTATGTTTACTGGGCATTAAACACTGTGCTTCAGGGAAATGAATGGGCTCTAATCCTCACACCGACTCAGCAAGTTAAATGCCATTACCCCATTTCACAGAGCAGAGCTCCCTGCTTAACTCTATCTGAAATCTTGCCCAGCCCCCAGGATTCCAATGTTCTCTTTAGAGAACTAAGCAAAATGATTGGCTGGGCTCAGGGACCCGGCCCCCCAGTTAGCACTGAAAATCTCTGGTATTACCATCCCAGAGCTTTCCAAATTTAGACCTAGGAAATCACAGAGACACCATCCAAGAAAATGTTATTCTCTGCAGGCTGGGGGTGGGGAGGGGTCTGTAGTCGGAGGAGGAGAATAAGGCCCTGGAGGGGCTGGGAGTGAGTGAGTGCAATTTTCCTAAAAAGAGGAAAGCCACTTTCATTCAAAGGGCTGTGGAATTCCGGCTGGAAATGGGTTTTCCTTGCAGTTAATCATCTGCGAGGCTCTTTGCCTGATTCCAGAAACCCACAACTCACACTTAGGGTCACAAAATCCTGGCCATCTATTTGCCAAACCCCATAGATGTTATCCTTATGAATCCACCCGCCCCTGCTCGGTCTCCTCTGGAGCAGAACGAAATCCATTCCAGGGCTTTTGCAGGAAGTCTTCAGGTTCTTGAGTTCGGCCCCTTTCGACTTCAAAGCCCCCCTGAGAGCAAAGGACTTTGAAAAGATACGAAATGCTCAGACTTCTTATCGCATCCCTGCTCCCTCCCGAGCGAGTCATAAATTCCGAGCCTCCGCGGCTGCCCTCTCTCCCCTCGGCTCTCCTAGCCTCAAGGTCTCAAAGGACAAACCTGTCACTTCCCGTCCCCGCCCCCCTACCTCCTGGCCCTGGTAGCAACCGAACGTAGCGGGGACTGAGGGGCGCGAGGTTCAGGACTTGCTGGAGGGGTGAGCGTAATGGGCGCCCCAACGTCACCAGCTCAGCACCGCCCGGGGACCCTGCTTCCCCTCCACAATTTCTTCTCGACCCGGTGGGCTGGGGGCCGGTCGGGTCCTGGCAGCCGCGACCCCGCCAAGTGCGCAGCACGCTGCCCTGCGCGTCCTCCCGCCAGCGGCGCGGAGCAGGCGCGGTGACGCGCTCCCGTGTGTCCGTGCTTCTCCGCAGGCCAGGAGGGCATCCTGCGCTGCCACCCGGACCTGGCGGGCCGAGAGCTGCAGCAGGGCACGCTTACAGCCGAGTCGCGGCGGGGGGC